ATTCTATTCTATTCTATTCTATTCTATTCTATTCTATTCTATTCTATTCTATTCTATTCTATTCTAAGTCTGCGGGTTAAAAACTCTTGGGAGAAATCACTTTTCCAAACCTGAACTGTTTGAATTGACTTCAGCGACAAAATTACAAACATATTTTTTCTACAGGATCTTATGTGGGTTGGATGGAAAGTCCACCCATTGCATGGTCTCTTGAGGTAGTCCTACACCTTATTTTAAAAGCAGGAAAAAAGAAAACTTGCCCAAGGAAGAGTGGCTAGGGAACTTTAGCAAGATTAAGTGATACGTAGTTGATTATGTTATTATTTAACAAATCAGTTAATCATTTTTGCTGTTTTTTTTAAAATTAATTAAGGAAAACGTCCTTGCAAATTGAGCAATGTTTTCAAAACCATGGCTGCACAGCAAGCTGGGGCTCATCCGAGACCAAACAGCAGCACATGGTGGTGATCTCTCTGCCATTGCCATCTTCCTGTCTCAGCAGTGTTTCAGGAGCCTTTTCATCATGAGTCAGATCACAGCCTGGTTGACAACTATGTTTGATTTCTTTGAGCTGGGTCAGCTTTCAGTAGATTGATGTGCTGCTATGCAGCCACTAGGGAGGTGCTGCGAGGAGAGAGAGAAGGCATAAGCCGGCACAGGTGTGAGAAGCACAACTGCAGCCCTTCAAAACTTTCCCAAAAAGCAGCCACAGCAGCTTCAGCAAAGACAGGAAAGTCAAGACATTACGTCGTCTTAGCAAAAGGAGTGTTTACGTGTTATGTCTGAGTGCTGGAACCCATGAGCACTTCCTTGCTGTCAGGGTCAGGTTTGCACCGACGCTTTGTCCAAAGTGTGTTGGAGAAGTGCCCACTGCACTGTATCGGGATGAGCTGCACAAATGTAAACCGGCATCGGGCTGCTCCCACCCTTCTCCTCTCCCAGCCACGTGGGCTTGGCTTTCCTTTTGTGCTGGCTCTGGCACTCCTGTGCCTGGGCAGGGAGCCAGGTCTGGATGTGGAAAACGATTAGTTTCCTGCTGATTTCTGTGAGCCAGACCGCTTCAGCACAGAGCTGGAGCCGAGGCAGGGGGAGGGCGAGGAGGAAGACTGCTGTCACAGTGGGCCAAAGGGGGAAGGGAATGCCATGTCCTTGAGGCCCACTCGGCCTGGGTGCTGAGAGGAACGGGCACACCTGCCCACTGTGTCATGCCTCGAGGACCTTCGTGGAGTAGAGTCCCTTCTGGGGACAGCAGCATTGCCTCTGGGGGACCTGTGTGTGTTTTGCCTTTTATTATCAGCTTGAGAAGCGTGCATTTTTGTCATGTCCGTCATAGCAGGGCTGAGGTAATGCACCCATGTGCTGTCAGCATTTTCAGCGTGGCTTCCTAACCATGCAGGAGAACTAATTTCTGCTAAAGCTATTAGATTGCATTTCGAGCTGGGCAGGGTGTAACCTCGTGAAAAATAAAAATAAAAAATTGCCTCTCTGTAGATGGGATAATGATTTAGAATCAGTTTTGTGGCTTCCTGGAACAGCTTTGGAATGAGTCTCAGTGACCGGCCGAGCTCATCAGTGGGCTGGGGCTGGCCGAGATGCTTGCATGCTTTCCATGTAGGGTATTTATAGAATAAGTGGATCTCAGTAGCTGCTGGTGAACATAAGGTTTAGTCATCACATCCCCTGGAATGATATTCCATAGTGTTTCTGTATAAAGGTTGGCAGGCAATTGTGTTTTTGCATGCACTAAATTTAAAGTGTGTGTGTAGGAGCTGGTTGTAGGAGAAGAGGACATTCAGGTGTTTCAGAAGCTCTTCTGTCTTTCTTCTCACCCACTGGGCAAAATGTTCTGATGCAGTGTGTATTTTCTAAATACCTTTCAGAAAATCAAAGTAGCATGAAGGGAAAAGAGAAAGAAAATGACCTCTGAATTAAGCCCTGTAAAACAGAAATTGCTTTGGTCCCAGAACACTAATTTGCATAATATCAGGGGCTGTTTTCCTGATTGATTTACAGCATGCCCAGATGGAGCATGCCGGAGGCTGGTGCTCCTGCAGGCTGCATTACACTGGTGGCAGTGCTGGTAGCGGGGGGGGTTGGGTTGGCACCGGGGCCAGGGGCGCTTGCATGGGTGGTATCACCCCAGGAGAGATGAGTTGCAGCGCATCCTAAAATCCTTGCAGCGCCTCATGCAAGGAAGGGGTCACCGTTACCAGGCTTACCATGGGAAGGAGTGTTTGAGCGTGGGAGGAGATGTCCCGGGGCTCTCATTGCAAGTGCACTTTATCTCTCCCTGGCAGGCATGTGGCATCTAGCGCTGCTGGGTGAAAGAGTGTTTCTGTGTAACAGCAGCAAGTCACCAAGGCAGACGCTGTGTCACACCGCCACTCTTCCCCTCCTCTCCCGCACTGTTTCATTGCTGTTCTCCCCACGAGCACAGATCTCCTGTGAAGTTTCCCCATGCTGCTGTCGGTTTAATGTGCAAAATCTCCTTTTTGTTCCTCTGCTGTGTTTCCCGAGAGCTGTGCCTGGCAGCTGTAATCGCAGTCTTGTGACAGGGACCAACTGGGATTGCAAACTGGTATTGTTTACGGCCCACTTCTGATCTGCAATCTAGGTCAGCAGAGGAGCTGGGTGTAGTTAGCTCTACCAGTACCTTTGAATGCTGTTATTCTTCCCAGGAAAGAATTTCTTTAGCCCCATGACTGTCTGCTGTGGCCTAAGAGCTCCCCTGAATGGTCTCTGACCCCCATGGGTGTGTGTTCCATGGCATGCAGTATTAACTTTGCCTATTCTGACTTGGGGAAAAAACAAAATGAAGTCCTTATGCATCCTTGGGGCACAGCACTAAAATGGTTGAAGAGTTTTATGCCTGAATTCAATAACAAACATGAATAAAATTGATTCCTTTTTTTTTCTGAAAGAGCAAATAAGAACCCTTAGAGCAAGATTTATTTCAGTATTTTATGCTGTCAGGCATTTCCTGTAATTTTGTCTTGTTCTGAATTAGGGAAAAATGTACTACAATGTCCCAGTCCCCAGTTTTCCATTTTACTTTAGTACTAAATGGGTTGTTGCATTCTGAATGCACTGAAGTGGATTGCAAAAGGTTCCACATTTATTTTGTTTTTAAATAAATTAAATCACTTTAATTGCTAATTATGTGTTGCAAAATTGCTAAGATAACTTTTAGTTCTGCAGTGTTGGTAAATTTAAAAATAAACTAAGTTTCAAACACAAAGAGAATTTTCCTATTCTGGTGCATCTGAGATGATTTCAAATGAGGACAACATGGAGATCTGCTGCTGCCTTGGGGAAGTGGTGAGTCCTCAAAAGGCTTGCCTGGCAGCCTTGTTCTCAGCAGCCTCACACATCTCTAGTCCCACCAAGTTGCTCTCCCTTGTATGTCTTGATGAGATTAAGGTCTTAGTCCATCATTTTTCTCATGGAGCTTTATCTTGGTACATTGTTCCTCCCTAGGCAGGACCAAGCTAAATTAATGTAAACAGTGCTGCAGTCATGTGTTTTAAGCTGCAAAGTTAGCTGACTGCAGTGAGTAGACCTGTTGGCTTTGTTGTTAGTGTTTAATATCAAAGTCAGCTCTGAGGAAACGTAGGCTAAAGAAGACATGCTATATTTTTGTAACACAACTCATAAATGGTTTTTGCTTTATGCCCAGATCTATCCTTGTAGTCCCCCACCCATTTCATTTGCATTACCTTTCTGCTGCTACTCTGATCCTAGAAGCAAGATTTGTGTGGCTGGTAACAAGAGGTCTGCTTGGCATTCACATGGATGCATTATTTTAACAGCTTTTTCTGCTCTGCACTTTCTACCTTATACATTTTGTAGTTAACCATAGCCTGGACTACTTTGACATAAGGACTGAAGCTCCATATTTTAATTCCAGCATTCAGATAGCTAGAGCATTCCAGTCTCCCAGTCTTAACCCAGGTTGTGGTCCATTCATAGTTTGTACACACAGGATGGAGAGAAAAAAAGGAGGAAAGGGGATTTTTTGTTTATAATTTATCTATTGAAAAACACTCCGCATATCTGCCTTATCAAGTCTGGCATTAGAAGTATATACACCATGAAATATAGCGAGGAGAAGGAGCATGGCCAGTGGTGCTGTGGCCTCTGCTGGGTAGCCCACAGGAAAAGATGGAGTGGTGGCCACCAAGGTAATTTCTGTTTAGTGCTTTCCTGCAGATAGATGTGTCCTGGGTGCATCTGGTAAATCTACAATTTGTATACTGTTCCTTCAGGGAGAAAGCAGGGAATTATCCTGGAACTGGATGGTGAGTATCACTGGTGAAGTAAGTCAGGAAACATCGAGATCTGCTGAGATCTTTTCATTACATAAGCTTGGTTTATTACATCTAAATAAACAACACTAATGGAGTTTGATTCTAATGAATTGCTTCTTACAGAATATAAAATATCTGGAACAGTCTGTCCGGTTTTGTTTTCGTTAGGAAGGTTCTTTTATATGGTTTCATTGTTCCTTCTTATAAATGAGTGGATCTCAAACTACTGCAAAGCACCCCTAAAAGATTGGTAGTAGCTCTACTGGTAGTAAAGCATTCTTTTGTCTTTCTTATGACAGCCACATACTGTTACAAATGTATATACTTAGCATTATTTCTCTCTTCCCCTCCCTTTTTAATTATTTCCTTTCACAGAATAAGCCTGAACCAGATGTGTTTCATCTGTTGGAGAGCACTGTTGCCCGAGTTTTCTGGCTGCTTACTTATATGTCCTTTTTTTAACAGGTAAAAGAGGAATGCAGGCTCCTGAACGCTCCCCCTGTCCCACCACGGAGTTCAAAACCATCTTCCACTAGTCCTTCCATCCCTCCTCGCACAGTCAAACCTGCACGACAGCAGACGCGCTCTCCTAGCCCTACTTTGTCCTACTATTCTTCAGGACTGCACAACATGTATGTTATTATATAGGACGTAGCAATTTGTATTAAATACCTACTGCTATAGGTAATCTCACCGTAAGATGGCAGAGACTGTTTGACTGGAAAATCCTGTGCAGTTCTGTATAATTCTTAAATGGCTTGAATCTTCAAACCAGATAATCTCAAAGCTAGTTTTCAAGTGGAATTTCAGTCTCACATGCGTGTAGTGCTACCTGCTCTTGATAACTGGGGGCATAGAAGGGTGTGGTAATCCAGAAATGTTTTGTGCCAACCAAATGTGAACCTACAGGTGAGTATGATGGAAAGCAGTGAAGCTGGAAGACACCACTGAGCATGAAGTGAGGAAAAGGCAAAATGAATCCAGGCGGCTTGTGGATCAAACCCACTTCAGCACAAACTTAAACCACAGACTGGAAAATCTGTTTAGGCTAGTCAGAAGTTGACATTGGATTTTGAACTTCCTGGCTGCATACCTTTTCTTTGCAATGCAATGTTCTTCCTTTGGCTTTAGAAACTGTGTATGTCATTTGAAGTTTTACCTCCTTTTTTACTTGGATGTCATGATTCTTTTGTACCTCTTCAGCTTTGTTGCTAAGAAAGTTCCAAGGTACTGCCTGAGTATTATGGATTGATCAGAAATGCTGCTGAAATTGGTTCTGTCTAGGTGCAATGGTATAATAATTCCTGGAGTTGCCTTTCTAAGCCGTACTGCACACTCTCAGCTAAGTGTTGTGTACCTGGCAATGATCGCTCTAGATCAAGGCTTGTCATTTATTTTTCTGGAAGCCTATTGGATAGATCTGTAAAAGTCTACTCTGTAGGAAATTAAGCACAAGACCTCCCGGAATGTGGGGCCCATCAAATGCTGTTTTCTTTCTTGATAGCTAACAACGCATCTGTCTCCCAAGAAAGCAAGAAAACAATGAGTAGTTTCTCATGCAGGTGACTTTTTTGCCTGGAAATTCACATGAAATTAATGTACATCTTGGGTCCATACCGGGTATCTCCAATTTGATGTCACGGATCTGGAGCTGCTGAGGAAGCAGGTGGAGAGTAGACATCATGTGGAGTAACCAGATTTCTGGTGAAGTTACTTTTCAAGTTTTGACATTTTGATCTTATTTTCTGGATCATAAAGGGTTGCAACTAGTTTTTCAACAAAAAAGAACAATATGATTTCTCCTTTTTGGCCTATTAAACCCTGTAATTTGGTGGTTTTTCTTGCATCCTCTGGCTCTGAGCCTCGGCAAGTTAATTTTAGTGCAGTATGAGTAAGGAAATGGTTTGTGAATATTATATCAGTTTTTGTTAATTCTGTTAATCTTTTGAACTTCTAAAATGTTAATCTTTTAAATGTTCCTATTTCTAACATTGGATTAGAGAACAGAAGCGGGATCAGTCAGTGTAATTCCTCTGTATGGTCAGTTGTTCATAACAGCTTGTTGACTGTCTACTCTGAATTAGACAGCCCAGTGTCTTGATTTTTGGAAAAATGTTTTTGAGTAAAACGACCAATTGAAGGCATATCCTTGATGAGAGTGGTATTTTTTGTTTTTGTTGTTGTTTTGTTTTTTTTAAGTGTGGCATTGTTATAATCCAACTGTTTTTACTGGCAGCTTTGTGCAGGAAAAAAAAAAACAACAAATATTTGGAGATCACTGAGTGGGAGAGCAAGTTGTCAGAGAGGGAAACTGAGGGAACTGTGATTTTTCAGTGATGTAGATGAGAACTGCATTTATGCATCTACTTTTTGCCAAGCAAGTCTAGGTTGGCTTCCTTTTTAACTCGCTGTAAGTACATGGGAAGTAATTTTTTTGTGGCAATCTATTCAAAACTGTGGCCTATTCAGAAGCTGTCTCCCTCCTCAAACAGTTTTCATTGAGCTGCCACAGAATTACTGCCTATTTTCTTTCTTGAGTAATTAGTTTCTAAGAGAGAGGTGAGTAATTAAAACAATTATTTCAACTGTTGGTTTCCCTCTGCTGTATTAGGTAAGGATTTTATAAGTCTGCTAATTGTTTTTGCAGTGTTCTAGCTTAATTGGCCAGAATTCCGAACGTCAGCCAAATCCTTCAGACTCTCTTTTAGAAAGTGGCATAAAAGCAGAGAACATTCACTTCTGGTAACATGTTGTATGTATTTGTTAGCATCTCAGTCTTTTGGAAAGGCCTGGATATAAACAGTCAGTTTCCTTGGACAGGCTGAGTTTGATTTAGTGCCTGGAAGTAGGTCAGGATAACTTTTCTTTAGGTGCCTTTGAAAAGCAAGGGCTTTATGTCAGAACTTTTTAAAGATATGAATAAGCAGTTTACTGTGGCTTAAGTTTAAAATCTGGTATTTCAATGAATACAGCTCTCTCTACTTACCCTTCCAGGTAAAAATCTTCCTTTGGCAGTAAGCAATAATTTGTTCTGTGTTATTGTACTGTACGCTGGTGCAGTGCCATAGCAAATGAAAATACTGGCCCCAAAAGGGCTTTTGATCATCTCTTATGTCTACCAAGCTTGTAACTACTGCAATGGTGACCTGCCTCTGTTACGAGTTTTTGCATACTGTAACGCATCTGTGGTGTTTAAAAATAAAAGACAGGATTAGAAAATCCTCTAGTATGCATGAAGCTATTCGTTTACCATGATGATGTTCCTCAGGAATTTAACAGTGAAAATCTGAATATTTGGGAGATGACACAAAACAGAATTGAGACATCTGTTTGTTGTTGGTGGTTTTTTTTTCTGAGCTTAAAGAAGCAAAACATGAATCTATCTCATGAGGCTTTGGGGTATATCAGCATCTCATCTGGCTTGTAGAAAAGAACCGTCTACGTTTGTATAGTTAATTGAAATCTGAAACATTCTGACAGCAGAAAAAAAGATTGTTTCCTTACGACAACAACTTTCTGATTTTGTATGATGATTAATGTATTTATTCACGTTTTACTTTGGTGCTAACCAAATCCTTTCTGCTTTGTTCCTTAAGCAACGTCACAGAGAGTGACAGCACGAACCCAGCTGAGAGCAGCACACCTGTTTCATGCTACCCTTGCACCATGATGAAAACTGAATCCAAAGAGCCTGAGAACACAATGCCTTTTGGAAGCCCCTCAATTGAAGCTCTGCCTTCCAGATTATCTTGGCCGAACCATTTTTCAGGAGCTATGGAAGGCCAGAATAGGAGTGATTTCCTGCTCGATCCAAGCAGGAGCTACAGTTACCCCAGACAGAAGACTCCAGGCACACCAAAGAGGAACTGCCCAGCACCTTTGACTTTTGACTTCGATGGGTGCGAGCTCCCTGTGGGGTACTCCCAGCTGTCCCCAGCAGAGTTCAACATCTCCAGCTGCCCAAAGTCAGCAAGTTACTCTCTAGGCAGCACTGATGAGAAAACTCTGGGAGACAGCAATGCAAAGCAGAGTCATTCATGTCCTGCCTTACCTCCTCGGGCACCAAAGTCAAGCGAAGAGAAACAAGTTACAGACATGTGTACTTTGCCACTAAAAATAGATGGTGCCGAGGAAGAATCAAAAACGGATTCTCCAGACCTCCTGGAAGATCAATATCTGGTTAAAAAGGGCATGCAGGATACATTCTCTGTGTCTTATCCCTTCTCATCTCCCCTCCACCTCCAGTTAGCGCCAAGGTCTTGTGGGGATGGCTCTCCCTGGCAGCCACCCACAGACCTTTCTGGACTCTCGATAGAGGAAGTGTCTAAATCACTGAGGTTTATTGGTCTGTCTGAAGATGTCATCTCATTTTTTGTTACAGAGAAGATTGATGGCAATTTACTGGTTCAGCTAACAGAAGAAATCCTGTCAGAAGACTTTAAGCTAAGCAAATTGCAGGTTAAGAAAATACTACAGTTCATTAATGGCTGGCGGCCCAAGATGTGATGCTGACTGGTTTTCAGTGGAACTGTATGAGGTGTGCTAGAGGCACTTCAGCTAATACATCACTTCCTGTTTTTTGCACTAAGAGCCCTTCCTGTAAATAGTAATAGAAAAATTCTTAACTATGCAGATAGAAGTTTTCGAGTGGTGAACGGTGGGGGTTTTTTTTGTATGTCAATAATAATGGTAGAGAATCTGCAGAGGTGTGCCTTGTGCATCCCTGAATGTTCAACAGCTGCTAAAAACTGGACACTAAGGGAACTTTCACTCTGTACTCTATTAAGACTTAGTCATATTTATTACTGAACAATTTGATGCTGAAAGACACACACACACACCAATCCAGTTTACAGTTTTGAGTTAACTGCAAAAAAATGTATTTCTTATGGGAGTATTTCTTCAAATAATATTTGACAACATGCTGTGATTTTCTTTTTCCTTTTCTGCTAACAGTAAGCATGGTCAGAGATAGAAAAACGTGGTTTTGACACTACATCTGAAAATGTTAAGAATTGCTGTGAAGTGCCACTAATACACTGCTCTTGCAGCTTGTTTTTATTAACAGTGTCTTCATGACTACCTATAATTGTGGGTATGTTTTCCACCTCACTTTCAGAGAAAAGAGCTTGCTTAGCTTAGTGCCCAAAGGGAAGGGAGAAGGGGGATTTTCCTACTGAGCCGCTCTGACCTGGCCAACTAAAAGTTTATGACCTGTAGATTTCAGAAGTTGCTTTTGTAGTCAGATAGCTGCAGTCAGTGGCACGACTTCAGGTCATGCAGCTTTCCTATGTGGAATGCGGCTCCCTACACAAACCCTGTCCTCAGTGGCTCCAGCCCCTCACAGCCACAAGGACAGTCTGAGCAGCCTGGTAGCTCAGCCCTTCCATTTGCCTTGCCCATTACATTTCCTCTGTTGTTGTTACCATCATCTGAAAATGTGCTGTGCTATTCTTGGAGTCAGATCTGTGTGGGAAGGTGATAGTACTGCAGGATGCCTTTGAAATAAAACATTGGTGAGGTGCAAAGAACCAGGAGCAGTGCCTGCCACGCAGATAAGAAGGGGCCCAGTGAGAGTTTGGGCCATGCCTCAGGAAATGCTTGTAATGCTTAAGTTCACCTGTTTCATTTGCAGTGGGCTAGGAAAATGTGAATGTCGAAGTGGAAGGGACAGTAGCTTCATTGAGATGTGCAAACTCAACTGCCTGGTTACAAAAACTTGCGGCAATAGATGCCAGGCAAAAGTAGCAGCCAAAAGTGAGCTCAGAGATAGGAAGGAGGCATAAGACTGCCCCCGGACACCTTTTGAATTGAAGTGTGGGAAGTCAGAAGTAGGATTCATTATTGGTAGTCCACTGCTGAGTTCTTGTCATTGGCAGAGCTCTAAAAAATGTCTAAATAACTCCAAGGTCCCGAGGTCCCCTGCCTTCATAGTCATGAAGGAAGGATTTGTCCTCAGGAAAGCCTGTAGAGCCCATCCTCAATGCTGCGTGTCCAGTACCTTCTGGCAGTCAGAACCAGAGATGCTGGAGCAGCTTCACCAGCCACAGAGCAGAGCGCTGCCTGGAGTGACCATCACAGAATCACACAATGGCCAGGGTTGGAAGGGACCTCAAGGATCATGAATCTCCAACCCCCAGCCACAGGCAGGGCCACCAACCTCCCCATGTAATACCAGACCAGGCTGCCCAGGGCCCCATCCAATCTGGCCTTGAACACCTCCAGGGACGGAGCATCCACAACCTCTCTGGTCAGCTGTTCCACCACCTCACCACTCTCTCTGTAAAGAATTTCCCCCTGACATCCAACCTAAATCTCCCCTCTTAAAACCCTAAAGTTTCCCCTTGTCCTGCAGTTGAAAGGGTTGACAACTGCCTCTCTGTCCTTTCTGAAGGACAAAGAGCATCTTTCAAGGCACGTCTTGAGAGCAAAAATGGGAGGCTCGTTTTGCCTTTTTTTCCTCAACAAAACAGACTCATTAAAACAAACATATTTGCAAAGGAAGCTTTCTGTTGCCTGGGCAAATTTTATGTCATGTTTCCATGCTGAAGCCAAGACGCATTGTTTGTCCTGCAATAATAGAAACCATCAGTTTCTAACCAGAGAGTAAGGCCCAACTAAATGTGGGTACCAGAAGGCAGTGACCCAAAACATATCCCTATAGAAAAACCCAAGAATTCATGATCTTACTCTTCTGTGTTAATGTATTGACTTTTAGAACAGATCAGTAACTTCTGAATGCATTTTAATTAGTGTCCTAAAATATTTTAACTGCAGTTAAGACTGGATTAAATTAGAGTAACGGTCAGATACGTGTGCTTGTTGGTAGGCACAAGCAAATTCAAATCAGCTGTTTTTGACCCTCATTATGTCCAAAGAACATTCATTTGTTAAAGGGGCAATTTTTAAATAGCCAGTACCTCTCTTTGTTATTGCTTGGCTTGTTAATCGTGGATGAAAAAGTGCATGGTCTCTCTCTCCTTGGAACTGCAATCTTGAGGTTAAATATTTCTGCAAGTTGCCATCCCTGAGAAGATAGTGTTCTTTGACTACAGATGGATATATACCATGTTTCCGTGCTTACCTGCTTGGAATGTTTTTTGTGGTTTTTTTTTCCTTACGAAACGAGTGTGATGGAATCTGCATTCATAAGTTTGCTGCATTAACATCATGTATGCATAGACCAGAATAGAACTGGCCTGTAGAAAGGTGCAGAAGTGTGCAGTGATTTCAGAAGCAGATCTTATGTACAGAAGTACAGCTAAAACCTCTTAATTGCAAACTTGCTACTGATGTCCTGCCAGTTGTCTTATTCTAGCTTAGCACTGCTTACTTATTTTTATGCATAATATGTTAGCATTTGACCTTTACTGTAGCCCAGAGCAGCCCATCACCTTCACTTTCCAAACCTTTTATAGCAATTCATGCATTGCTAACCTTTGTGTAAATAAGAGGACTGCAGAATCGAGCCACTGTGTGCATGCCCAAGCAGAGTAGAAGCGTCTGTGCTGGTGAAATCAGGAGAGCAAATTGTACAGCTGGGGTGTCATGACTTGCTTGGACTTAGATGTAGCAGCCAGCATAGGGCAGTGCTGATGCCCACAGAATCTCATTTCCTCCTGAGCTGGTTGGTCGCCTTGTGTTGTTTGTAGCAGGTATGCTTTGTGTGTTTAAAGGTGTGGTATGATTTAGGAGACATTTAATGACTCATGCACATGTGCATGTTGCTGATGTGTTTTTGAGCTTAAATAGGATGCAGACTAGTGTTAGCCAGGTTTGTTGAATACCACTGAGTTTCATGATGGTATTAAAGACTCCAGTTTGTCATTGGCAAGAGGTACTAGCTCCTTTCCTCACCACTCACTGCTTTGTAACTGGCCCCAAGGTCTAACTGTGCATTTGCTTACGTCTGTACCGGGAACCTGAGCAGTGCTGGAATCTGGGCCCCTTGAGCTGTGCTCTTGGCCTGGGCACATGTATGGCTCTGGTGCAGGCCTAGCTCTGAGGAAGCAGTGACTGTTCCCAGGAAGTAAGGTGGGTGAAGTCGAGCTATCATCTGGGGGGCAGCAGAGTTGGTCTCTTGGTCTGGACTTTGACCAGGCTGATGTGAGGTGTACTGGGATCCAAGATTGAGTTCTGGTCCATTTTATCTGCTAATAGCAAGGGAGCTACTGAATGCAGAGAATGCATGTCATGTCAGAGGGGGCCTAAAGTAAAACTTTTTGGAGATGCTTTGCTAATATTGGCCAGTCCTAACTTTGGGTTTCCTTTCTCTTGTTATTTAAATTCAAGGCCTCTGATGCTTACTTAGCTAGTGGAGTCTGCAGTACTGTGCTACTATTGGGGATCTTGTTTGTCTAGGGATTTTGGCAGCAAAAATTCTGGCCTCTCATTATGTATGGAATTGTCTCTTGACTCTGCACTGGGAAATTCATCCTTTCTATGCAGTATTCATGTGGCAAAGCATTGATGCTGCCTTCAGCTGTGAAAATTTCAGTCTAGCACAGGTGCTTCTCCAGAATGGAAACAGAATTGACAAGAGGAGGGATTGGAGAAAGCTTGAGAGGAAATGCTGCTTTCCTTTAAACACTCATTGTGCCTAGGATTGAGTTTCTTCATCGTAGAATCATAGAATGGATTAGGTTGGAGTGAAACCTTAAAGATCACCTAGTTCCAACCCCGCTGCCATGGGCAGGGCTGCCACCCATCAGCTCAGCTGCCCAGGTCCTCCTTCCAACCTGGCCTTGAGCATCTCAAGGGATGGAGCATCTGCAACCTCTCTGGGCAACGTGTTCCAGTGTCCCTCTGAGTAAAGAATTCTTCCCATCAACTAGCCTAAATCTCCTGTCTTTTAGTTTAAAGCCATTATCTCTTGTCCTATCACTGTCAGACCGTGTAAAAATTTGTTCCCCTCCTGCTTGTAAGCACCTGTCAGGTACTGGAAGGCTGCAATGAGGTCTCCCTGGAGCCTTCTCTTCTCCAAGCTGAACAAGCCCAACTCTCTCAACCTTTGTTCATAGGAGAGTTGCTTCAGCCCTCTGATCATCTTGTGGCAATACTCTGGACCCACTGCAACAGTTTTGCATTCTTCTTGTGCTGGAGGCTCTGGGCCTGGACATACTACTTCAGGTGGGGCCTCACAAGGGCAGACAGAGGGAGACAATCCCCTCCTCTCCCTGCTGCCACCCCTCTTTTGATGGAGCCCAGGATACCGTTGTTCTGGGCTGCAAGAGCTCACTGCTAGCTCATGTCCAGCTTTTCATCCACCAGGATGCCCAAGCCCTCTGCAGGGCTGAGACCTTCCCCACAGGGCTTCTTTGCAGCTTTGTATTGCTGCCTGGCTGGCTAACCAAAGTTGTATTGAAATCAACTGAAAATGCATATTTGCCTTCTTGTTGTATTGTAAAAATTGTCCACAGCTAGAAATTTGGAGACAGAAAGCATTTGGTCCCTCCAAATTTACAAGGAAAATGTGTTTTGAAGTGTTCTTGCCGCTAGAAGCATGGGTTTGAAGTAAATCTGCATCATGCTTTTTTTTTTTTTTTTTTTTTTTTTTTTTCCCAATACAACAGTTTTATTTGCCACTTTAGCTGACTTCATTCCACAACAGCTTCAAGAAAAAAAACAGTGTAAATAGCAATACAGTTTCAAAAACAGCATACTTCCAATCTGTCTGTAAATACTTGAAGTGTTTTCTCCTGTTTTCTTCTTGAACTGACTCCTGGAGTTGCCTCCCTGCTCCATAAAGCGTGCTGGCACCAAGCAGTTGTATGCAGGGGCCAGGGGTCACACTGCCTCAAACCAGGTCAGGGTGAGGGCTGAGCACGCTCCCCTGCCTCGTCTCCTCGATGTCCAAAATCTGCAGTGCAACCGTGTGCAGAATGAAAGGTAGGAATGAAAAGGTAATCCAAGCGATGCTTTTAGTCGCGTTGTTAGAGGCATCGGGGCAGTATGGAAATTCAGGCTCCTTGTTGAGACCTAGCAATAAATGATTCTTTGATTGTTATGTCTTAAACTCCTGTTCATCCAGGAGTTGCTCAGATTTTACCATTTCTGTGCATAATCAAATTTTCAGAGCGGAAATCTACAGAGTGATTCTCTTGACTTGGACAATCTCCTGAAGTATGTTAAAAGTAATGTTAGTTCTTAGCTCTTTAGATTCACTTTGGGTAGGTCAAAAGAAGTAACGTGGGGAAAAGAAAAAAGAAGAAGAAAAAAGAACTCTCAAACTTCAGCTTAGTGCATTTCCGTTACGAAACGAAGCATGGTTTTGTGGAAACTCTGTGCTCTTCTGGGCGTTTGTGTAAGAGGCTGAAGGCGGATTGTTATTTAAACCAGGTGCAAATAAATTTCCTTTTAATGTATATGAACAAATCTAAACTGCGTATTGTAAGTATATAAACTGTATATTAAAGACACTATTTTCATGATACTTCCAGCGTGTATGGGATTTGTTGTACCAGAGTGGTTGGGTTGCACATGCTCTGTAAAATTGTGGCTTTTCATTCAGTAATTTCATTGACTTAACCCCGTGCTCATCTCACTGTAAGTCAGAAATAAGCACCTCCGAAAGAGGAGAGATGAGAAGAGCCATCAGGCTTCTACCTTTGACCTCTCACCACACAGCACTGGATTTCTCCATCCTGCAATTTCACCCAGTGCCCCTTAGCAAGAGCTGTACGTTCCCAAAAGGATTTGTTGCCGGACAGCTTTCCTGATTCCAGCAGGAAAAAAAAGAAACAGTATTTTCCTGAGCCCTCAGCCTCTTATCTCCATTTTAGAGAACTGCATTCAATGGTCATTTGGGTGTATTTTTAAGCACGAGACCACACGTAAGTATTTCTGATTGACAAGAAGTCTCTGAAGAGGGCAGAAAATGAGAGGGAGCAATTTTCTCAGCGAGGCTGCCTGCCTAAGTTTCCTCCAGTGTCAGCAGTAGGGGAAAAAGTCACTTTTATAACCATCCACGTGTCATGCAGACAAGATGCTGTTGTGCCAAAGCCTCCTTCAGCACAAGCTCTGCTCGCTAATGCTGGGCCAGAAGGAAGTTCTCTCCAGCACAGCGGGAGTTGTGGAAGGGTTTCTGTTGGGACTGTGTTTGTGAGAAACTAAGTGGGGTGGAATTTCTCACAGCAGGTACCAC